ACGCGGATTTCACCCTAACGTGATCTACGTAGCGGGTTTTACTAATTTACAGCGCGGGTTTCACCCTCTCCTATTATATTAAACTTATTTTCAGTCAATTACGCGTTGTAAGTTTTATTATAGAAGTACTTAACAATCCGTTACAAAGAAAGAGGTATTAAATTTTAATCTAATTAAAAATTTTATTATCAACACGCACCATCCATACTGCTTATATTGGGTTCTTTGATTAAGGTCTATAAATTTGAGGAAAAAATCAGCTAAAAAGAAACTAATTCGTGGCTTTTTTTACATATCACTAGATATTTATGGTAAAAAAAAAAGTAAAATGAAAGAAAAAAAAAAAAATTTTCTAAGCAAAGGTTAGTATTATACATCTTAATGATTTTAATAATTAATGAGACGTATAATTAAGTAAAGAAATTGGCATTAGTGACGAAAATGAAAAAGGCGATAAAGAAGCCGGAATAGAACTTGATAGTAGTACTGAAAAAAATAAAAAGAAAGCATTGATTCATAATCAAAAACTCGCATATACAGGTAACATCAATGGGACATTTTGATGTCGGTTTTTTTCACCATAATAGAATTGGTATTATGATAATAAAGCTAATGATCTTGTGAATGTGTAAATGGCGTAGAAAATGCGAACATATAAGAGATCTGTACATCTTTTAAATGCCCAAAAATTGTGCTGTTGATCGAAAAAAAACAATTATTGGAGGCATTAATTAATACCGTATAAGCGTGAATAGCGCGCAGGGGTGTTAATCTCAAATAAAATAACCTATTTTTTTTAATATTTACATGTTTTTTCAGACGAAGAAAACAAAAAAAGCTCTGGGATAGTTACAGAAATAGGAAGTTTAGGTTGAAATAAAATTCCTTACCGTCAACAAATTTTCTCAAAAAAAAACTAAATGCATTATCAACACCAGTCACTGTATAAAGAAAAAAACAAGTTTCGTGATCAGTTAATGTATCTCAATCTATAAGCGATAATATTTCTGATTCTCCTACCCTGCTTACTTTAAAACGTCAGGACTTGCTGAGAAATTTTTATAAAAAAGAGGATTTTCTTGAAGGTATATGACTGTATATAATTCATTGTAAAAAAGTGCGCTATTTAGATTTATAAGGAAACATTATATTATGCATTATATTTGTTAACTTTAAAATTCTCTATTTTATTATTTTTAAATTTTATTCGATTTTTCTACAAATTTGGAATTTTACAAAATTTATCAATAATTTTTTGGGAATGAAATGTGGTTCTGGAGTGAATATCCTCCTGCGCTTATTTTATACGAATTGTTCACAAATCGCAAGAATTTTTCTCGCTAGATCAATACAAACACAATATAAACGGACATATTGAAATTAATTAAAGGTTAGTGTTCATATATTCTTAGTGTTATGATGCGGAAGCATTATAGGAGTGTAAAACATTAACAAGAATAGTAAGTGTGCTACGCCCCATTTTTACGAGAGTGGGGAAGAAGAACGTCCAGACATAGAGCTTCTGCGGCGTGCACATAATTTCTATTTAGGTTTATGTTTTCAACACTCTTATTGAACATTAATGAGAATAATAAGTGGGTGCTACGCCCCATTTTTACGAGAGTGGGGAAGAAGAGCGTCCAGACATAGAGCTTCTGCGGCGTGCACACCACTTATTATTGGGTTCTTTGATTGGGGTCTACTGATTCTAAATGAGGAAACAGTAAGGTACCTTCCTTAATCTCTAAAGAAACTTACTCATACCTTTCTTTGCATAACATTGTAGATACTGTAACCGTTGGGAGGGGAGCGGGTAAAATGGTATAGACGGGCCCAACGGTTGTACAGGATGCAGATAATAAACTTTGGATAAGCGAATCAAAACATTAATAAGTTTGAGTGAACTAAATAGACGAAATGACGCTATAAAGTAAAGGCATTGATATCAACACGTTGTTGGGTTTGAGTGATATGGTTGGAGTGATGATGCTAAGGCTGATGATCTTAAAGGCGTGATGACGATTTGACGATATCTTAATCAGGGTGATGATGGTAAAGTCCTATAAAATGTTTTTCCACCCTGTAATTTTGACCAATCGAATTTTAAGATCAGATGTAACGTAAAAATTGAAACGGATCCACTTTTTTACAAAAAAACAGGCTTTTTATTAGGAAACCACCTTATGTGGCCTAATTAAAAGTGTTTCTCGTCAAATTATATTGATAGTTGTTTTTTTTTTAACTATAACCTATAACGCAGTTTTCTTAGATTTAATTTTACATGCAATTTTTACTTAAAAGAACAGGAGAAACCGTCGATGTTACACGACTGTTTCTTCACCCGGTGAGCAACATATAAAAAAAAACATTTTACAATACCAGATCATTCTGCTAGTACATGTTATGATTATAATTCCACACCATTTTATTATAATAAAAAATGGTGTGGGATTATAATCATAACATGTACTAGCAGAATGATCTGATATTGTAAAATGATTTTTTTATATGTTGCGCACCGGGTGAAGAAACAGTCGTGTAACATCGACGGTTCCTCCTGTTACTTAAAAGACAAACCAAGTTTGTTTTAAATTTTGATTGGTTAAAATTACAAGGGGTGGAAAATATTTTGTGGGAATGCTACCTAAATGATGAAAAAACTGTTTACAATCAAGTAAAATTTACATGAACGACAGATCCAGATTCATGTGCATTCTGACTAGAGATAGAAAAATCGAAACTACTGCACAGCCTACACAACCTTTAGTCCCTAGAGACTTTTACTCATTAGGTTTCGCGTTTATATATATAAAACATCTACTTCATATGTGTAAAGTTGGGC